ATATTCTGAATAAGGAATAGACATCTTACCATGCTTATCCCTTAATTTCTTTCTTACTCTTTCTGCAAAGAGGGTAGGCAAACCATCAATGAACTTGGCCTTCCAATGTTCACTATTAGCATCAGATTGTCTGACTACTCTCATCATGAATACATCTTTATACCACCTGAAATGGGATAAAGATAGACAATGTAAATTTTGTAAAAGTTTTCTACTCCTATCTTCTAAACCATCTGGAGAAGCTCCAACAAAATGATGTAGAATTGTGTTGATAAGAGTATAAACAGCATCCTGTTCAAATTGAACGGTGTTTGTTAAAGGATCGATAGTTCTTTTAAAAGCTGTAAGAATTTCTGTCTGTTGAACATCGGTAATGAAGTCGTGTTATGAATGTAACTTTTTAAAGATAGTATTTGTCCTCACAAGATTGTTTACACTAGATTACCATATTTTTAATATGGGATAAGTCATAAAACTTAAAAGAACTTTTTCAAAAAAATAAAAAAGATTTGAAAAAAATTAACCCATTTTATTTTCGAAAATTCCCAACAAGCGAGTCTGGAAAGAACTTAACCCAATTTAAATTGGCTTAAGAACCACCAACACAGAGGAGATGGCAAAGGGCCCTCACCAAAAAGGTGAAGAAAATAATAAACAGAAAGTAAAACCACCCGGGATTAATTGTATTTCAAATTCTATCTCATCTTTTATCTACAATTACAATTAAAAAAAAAAAAACATAGAGTTTGAGTCTTATAACAAAATAAATTCTGAATTTTTAATTTTGTCAATTTAAATCGTAAACGTTTGATTTGTTTTCAACCTAAACATTAGCCTATTTTCGTTAAATAAAACTAACAGAAAGAGAGTATTTTAGTTAATAAACTCAATATATATACAAAATGTATAAAATACCGGTTTTCATGAGTATAATGAATAAAATATTCATTTTTTCATCTATTTTATTTAACTAAAATAGGTGAATGATTTAGATTGAAAATAAATTCAAAATATAAGGTTTAAATTGACAGAATTAAAAATTTAAGATTTATTTTGTTACATGCCCCAAATCCTAGGAATTTTTTGTAATTTGCACTTTATCTTATTTTAACCATAATTTCATAATACTCAATAAATAAATAAATAAATAATTGTGAGATCCACAATATTAATTACCCAGTTTTTTAAACAGTTTCCCTACTAACATTTGGAACATGTGTGAAATTTTTCATGAATTGTAAATGTAACAACGAAGAGTAATGTGATACATTTAAATATCATAAATAGTTTCATCACACCAATCTTAAGTAACACTATAAATTCCATACAAATTGAAACCCAAAAACTAATATGCTTCTTCAATCATCTACAAAATACTACCAAATTGGGTTAGTTTATTCATCTATGTTTCTTCAACCATCTAATATGTTCATAATTGCGAAAAAGTTTAGTGCCAAAAAGGATGTTCCTATCAATCTTTATTTTTTCTTCTAGCCTTATGGAGCCTAGAGTACTTGTTAAAAAGGAAATTGTGCAAATTTATAAATATCTTTTTATTTTTTTATTTTCCTCAAACTATAATTTTTTTTAAAATTCTTTTATTGAAATTTCACTTTGAGAAAATATCATTTTTCCCTCAAACAATAGCTCAAAAAACAATCCAACCGCTGTTCTCTTAATAATATCTACTTTATATCTAAACTACTCGATTTTGCATCAATTTTACTCCACCATCAATTACGATCTATAATCAACTAGTAGCTGCTCATGTGGCACTCAAAATATCAATTAGTTCTCTGAATAAAATGAAGTTTGGAGGTCTAATTGATATTTTATAAGTAGTTTGGAGGGTAAAATGAAATTTCAAATTTCATTGCCATGTCAGCAACTTTCGTTGGATTATAAACAGAAGCTAACAGCGGAGGTAAAATTAATCCAAAATCAAATAAGCTCAGTGTAAAATTAATATTATTAAAATAACAGAGGTTAAATTAATTTTTCAGTGATAGTATGAGAGGCAAAATTATATTTCCTCTTTTACCTTTATTAAAATTATTAAATCTTCATATTAAATTAGGAGTAAGAGTCCATGTATTGCTATATGTATAGTACAATGTAATTTTTTTTTTTTTTTGCATAATAAGTTCATGTCCAACTAAAATTGTGCCATTAATGTATACTATATCTCATACACATTTCAAATGCCAGGAGAGTAAGAGGACAAGTCCTTGGCAAAGTAACAAAATAACTAATAAATTTTCTCAATTTTCAATTTAAAAAAAATCCAAGAAAAGGAAAGAAAAGAAAAGCATATTGTTAATGCAGAGGAAGTGATGATTCATGTCATCTCCCCACTTAGAAGGCGCGCAATGGTAGTTCTTTGCAAATTTTAAAAATACCAAGAACAATGACAGTATTTGCTACAAAAAGCAGTAATACAAAATTCCTTGTTAGTAAGCAAAACCTAATGTATCCTTCAACGACTTAGAAAAAAAGAACATCTAAGAAATGGAACGAATTATCTCCTTCAAGTACATTCCGTGCCTAAATATCATAAGTATTGGAATCAACGTATCCACTGCGTAGTTGATTGGTATCCATAAGTTTCAACAACCTATACATACATCATTGGCATTGCAACAAAAAAATATTTAGTTGGACATATCTATCCAAAATGACGAAACATCATCCTAAATAATATTGTTCACATAAACTATCCAAATGTTGTCCATCACATAAGCCATTCATAAAGTCTGCCATTGTTTACAATTTTCTTTTTCTAATAAAGGGGAGAAAAAGTAACATTGTTCGCAAAATAATGGGCTGAAAAAAGTAACACTGTTTGCAAAAAAACATAACACTGTTTGCAAAGTTCGGTCAACCATCATTGTCTGTGTCCATTTGTTGACTGTCATCATGGTTGGACCCATCAGATTCCTACTCACTATTATTAGAACTAGTTGAATTCTTAGAATCTTCACCACAAAAGGCTTTCCACATTTGTTTTAGTTCGAACTTAACATTCCTCATGTCTTTCTTGTGCTACAAGTCCATCCAGGTCAATATGGACATCCATCGTATCTACACTTGTACGTACCCTATTAGCAATTAAAATCAAACAAATCAACAAAAAAACACAACTGCCAGTGCCCTGCTATAAATTAAAATCAAACAAATAATTAGCACACCCACCAGTGCTTTGCTATCAATTCAAAACAAATAAATTCAAAAAACTAATTAAAATCAAATGAACAAATAAGCAGTCAATTGAATTCAACAAGGTTAGCTCTGGCTTCTAGTATTGCACCAGCAGTCAATAGAATCTAGAATCACAAGTAAATATAAAGTCAAACATTTTGCTTGCATGACTAGAGCTGTACGTTCAATATTTTTCTTCCATCCTTTTCAGTATTACGTATTTCAACAATGCAAATGTCCCGCTCCTCTTGTCACTTGCTCTAGATTAGTAGAATGTTATTTTGAACAAGTGCTCTAGTCGGTTTCTCATTCTTCTACAGCACATTCTAATGTTCAGGTTGGCTACGATAAGCGAAGACTGCCAATAGGTTTGCAACTAATAGGCCGACCATGGGGTGAAGCTACAATTTTGTGCTTGGCTGCTATAGTAGAGGTATATAATTACTATTTCACCCCAAAATAGGCCCCTATCTGTAATATTGCAAGTATATTACTAATTTAAAATGGTCATTGGCATTTTCAGGAACTCTAGAAAAAGCCTGTCATTTTATGACATTTTAAAGGGGAACTGAGAAACCTGGGTTCAATTCGTGCTTCTCATGGTTTATTTGCTTTGGAATCTTTGGAGAACTTGAAAAGTATGAGCCTTATCACATTGTTTTCGCCTTCAATTTCGATTATTTTTGTCAAAGATGGAATTAGTTCTTATCTTGAAACTATAATTTCAAACAAATGCATTATGCATAAGATTGGGTCAATTCAATTATATAAGCCCCTGCTTAAGGAAGATTCATTTTGGCTCGGTAAAGTATACATTTAAGCTCTAAATATTCAAAATATTTTAAGTTTGCATTTGGATTTATGAATATGAAATGAATGCATTTGATTTTAATCGTATAATGATTGTGCCTTAAAGTTTCACATTTATATATATAAAAGAGAGATGGAAGAATTTAGGTTATTTATTATGAATGGATTTCAAATATATGGTTAAAAAAGCTTTATTTTATGCAGAAGATTTCGTTGTTCAAAAATGATATTCAAGAATCATATAAAACTTATCTGCTTCAATCCTTTCCCATGGATTTTAAATCCAACTGTAATAACTATTTGCAAATTTAAAGTTGAAATTGTTCATTTGAAATCTGAACAAATGCTAAAGTGAAAATGACTGAATTATAGGGTTACTATAATATGCAAGTATTGAATACATTGGTGGCATCGTCAAGAAATTAGAGTATAATTTAATATTGTCAATGTTATTACAACATTGCTCTGTAAAACAATTATAACAAATAAGTTAGTTCAGGGCCCTTTCTTAAAAAAAAGAACAGTTTGTTCAGGGCATTTAGAAACAATTCATGGCTTTTTCTTTAAGCTTTTTAAAAATTATTATCAAATTTAACCCAAAAAAAAAAAATTAAAAAACAGGTTCCAAAAAAAGAAAAGAAAAAAAAAACGAGGTCAAGCAACCCATCACAATTTCAAATGACAGGTTGGTGTGCTTTTCAGCCATGCTACATCGAAAGAGGGCCAAAATTAGATGACACTTTTAACCATGCTCGAGGTGCAATTGGGAACTGAAAAATGTAAAGCTACACTCTCGCCTATTTGTTGGAAAGTCGATAATATTTAAGCATAAACAAAAAACATCCCTCTCTTTTAAATCAAAATAATTTATTATTATTATTTATAAATATAAACAGTCCATTTAAGCCACAGCAAACTATGGTGTGCAAAATTGTGAAGATGTGACTCACAAAGGCAGGGCCAAATGTTAATTTAAGTTACACACAAGAAACTTAAAAGTCATAATTCTATAAATCTTCATCTCCAAAGAATGCCTTCTACTAGCCACCTCATTTTTTTAAAAAAATTATTTTTTATTTTTATCAAACTTGTTGAATCTTTTAAATCCATAATGACATACATTATATCAAGTTCTATGAGCAAGTGTTTTAGGAATGTTGTTCCATTGTCATGTTGGGGTTATTCAGTTCAATATAGCAATACCTCTAAAGTTAATGAATTGGAAGTTCTTTATCCCTGCAAATCAGGAATTGGGGATGTCTTTCTTCAGTTCTTCTCATCCACAACATCGCTAGGGGCATCGTGGTCGGGAGGAATCTTCCCTGGATAATTAGTTGTCGGGGGATCTGATTCTGACATGCTGTAGGATAGATGAGAATCACAAATAAGAAAACTGACAATTAAGAGGAATTCATAGGCAACGGAATGAAAAAGTTTACCTTTTGTCCACAATGACCATAGAGCGAAGCTCACAATTTGCAAAACTACAAAAACATGTTGCAAATGTCATTCAGTGAAGCAACTATAGAAGTGTGTGTGAATAAATATGTATGGAAAAAAAAGTAAACATAGTTTTATATTTCCACCAAAAGGACAATTATAGCTATGGACATTTTGTTTTTATTTCTCTTTTTGGCTGCATTTCAAGCTAAAAAATTAATAATATCCATGTTATTTATACAATAAAAGCAAAATGAAAAATATTAACCATCTCAGGGGTAATTTTTGAATGAACTTATACAACTTAGGATGAGAGCAAAGGGACAGCTGTTCTTCAGGTGGTTAAAGAGAACTACGACAGTAGATTGAGCAGCTTGTGCATAGGCACCAAGATGACATAGTCATGTGAAGCCAATAGACTATATAGTGAAACACTTTCTGCCATCCACAACCACTTTCTGATACTTAGTAATTTAACATTGAAACATAAAAATATAATGTATATATATGGTGTATTTATATAAATAACAAAATAATTTTGTCATGATATATCAATAACAAAATATCACAATAACATCAAAATATCCATTCGTTTCTCACTTTCCACAATTCCCAAAAAATTGCTAAAGGTAATACATCCAATCCACTTTAATTTTCTTTCTCATAGGAAAATCAAGCCACCACAAGAGTAATTGTTAGAAACATAAACAGATTTCAATTAACAAATAAAACATTACAGTCTCATATCAGTTACATGAGTACAAAATTCAATTATCCACGCATTAGATTTCACACACTCAAGCCAAATTTCAAGTCTGTATACATATATATATATATATGGAATCAAAACAACTACCAAAGCAAACAAAGATAAAAAACCTAAACCTATTCAAATCATATTTTCCTAATTTTATAAAGCAACCCAGTGAGTTCAGGTGAAAGGGGCAGTTTTGAAGAAGGGGATTTCCATCTAGGGTTTCATAGAATGGAGATGGAGAAAGGGAGAGAAACAAGTTGCAAAGAGAGAGAGAGAGAGAGAGAGAGAGAGAGAGAGAGAGGGGTACCTTGAGGCGAAGTTGAGGGCAGGTTGTGTTCGCGGGATAGTCTTCGATGGCGAAGAATAGCTTCGGAGTCGTGTCTGAAGAACAGAAGCGTTTTGGGCAAACAGTGAAGAGGGTTTGTGGAACATAAAACAATCTGTAAAGAAAATTGTAACCGGTTGGAGCGGTATTCAATATTTCCAATTAAACTATTTAATGGTTGAGATTAATTTATAAATATTTAATGGTTTAAAATAAATGTGCACATAATGGGCATTATTTAATAAGTTGCACATCTTAACAGCTCCCTTAATTGGCGATGTTTATTGATGTTGGTTTTCCATGGTGCATTGGAAACTATCAGAATATTTTTAATGAGATGTCAAAATTTCACGATTGATTCTATAGGAAAAAAAATGCTAGATTTATTATAAAGTGGAAATAATCACATTATAACCAAAGATTTTCTCCAAACTAGATTTTCCAATACTTTGGGAATAACATGATTAAACCCAAAGATTTCTTCAAATCTCAAAGGTTTAAAATCAATTCCGTCTTAATTGTCATTTCTGAACAAATAAGAACTACTTTGTAGCTAAGGCTAAACACTTTGGTTTCTATTACAGAAAATCAAACCAAGTTCCAAACTAACAAACAATTTAAAAATTGCTAACCAAATTACAAGAATATAAAAAATTACTACAATAATGATTAAGCAAATACAATTCTTCTAACAATACAAGCAAATAAACTTACTTTTACACAATTGGTAAAACTATCTAAACCCAAGCAAAAAATTTCTTCACTCCTAGTCCATAAAATTCATTTCCATGCTTAGTTATTCCTGTTCATCACAAAGGTTAGTTGTCCATACTTTATGTTTGTACATCCCAAAAACTATTCATTTGGTTTTGTATTTGTTTTTCCAATCCCTTTCACGTAGGTATTTCTAGGGAAAAAAAAACGTTAGCAGAAAATCACAACAAAATACAAATAAATAATCTAAGTAAAAACAAATATAATCAATTAATTGAAACCATCTAGCCAATTATTAAATAATAAAATTAACTAATGAATTAAAATGCTAGATAAGTTACCAAAACAAAATAAAATTTGTAACTTCACAATTAAATTAAAACTTTAAAATAATATTTATAACTCCAAAATTAAATTACAACTTTAAAATAAAATTTGTATCTCCAAATTAAATTACAACTTCAAAATAAAATTTGTAGTCATGAGTTACAAAGCAATTTGATTCACAATTATAAATAAATTAAATTAATATGCAAGAGTTACATATAAACTAAAACTTCAAAATTAAATTTATAATTTAATTTATACACTAAACTTCTCATAAATATAAACAAGTTACCAACATTTTATAACTCCAAATACATTAAACTAAAACTTTAATAGGCAAGAGTTATATATAATTGTTACAAAACAATAACCATTTAGCAATTAAACATGCAAATAATTCTAGAAATTAAATCATGTAATCTAGTCTAGGTAATAATAAGCATGTAACAAATTAAATCTAGAATAGAATTAGCATGTTAACAAATTGCAATGCCCATAAATTATATTATAAAATTAAAATTCATGCAACTCATGGTAGTAAATCAAAATCATGATCATACTCATAAAACTTGAAATTAAACAGAGAATTATTCTTTGAAATAGTGGCCTTCTACAGAACTTAAATGTCTAAAACTGAAACCAAAATAAGCAGCAAAATCTGACAATTAATTTGAATAACTTTCATGTAATAGACACTAAGACTCATGCAATGGATTCTCTAGTCAAAACCATACAACTCTAATTATCCGGAACTGTAATAATCAACAAATAAATATCTATTGTATATTATGCTACTAATCATGCTAGTGAGTATATATATTCTACAACAGTCACACAAACATACATATATATTACTTATTGTAAGTTCCTAAGCATGACTTCCATATGCAAACAGTGGTGTAGACAAATTCTGGACATATGCTCTTTATTCATGGAAATCTAAACAACAAATGTGTGCAACGTATTATGAAACACCTGGCTCAAAAAAAAAACGTATTATGAAACACAGTAAGGAAACAGTGCATACACCTAATTCCATATAAATCTATTTGTTCAATTTCATGGAAAAACACAAAAATCTGTTTTAAACTTGTTGTCCAAATTATGAAATTAAACAAATAGATTCACGAATAAAGCAAAATTATATATCCAGAACACATGCTGAGAATTACAACTAAATTATAACAGAAATACCCAATACAATAGAATGGTAAAGAAAGCAACCCGAAGCCTGCACGGTAGCAGTTTCCTTAAAATAGATTTTCGCCGCCTCATGGGTCAAGTGCTTGAGGAATTCCGGCGTCTGTCTCCCAGGATACGATGGTAAAAATACTAGCTACAGCAGAAGCACTCTCTGTCTAGCTTAGCGAACAAAAATCCTGCAATACTCTCTCACTGTAAGAATTTTCTGACAAACTGACTTGTAAAATGGAAGCAAAAATTTGTGTGTTGAGACTTGACAGGAGGGTCTCATTTATACATGTAGAGGGGAGAGAGGAGGAGTCTCCCACCTTTATGGCTGGTCACTAATGTACCATTAACCTCTGCAATAAAGGCAGGAGTTACAAATCCCACTAATGCACCATTAAACTCTACAATATTGCAGGAGTTACAAATCGCATTATCTCTTTTATGAAGCTAACTTTATGAGACAATTTCTCATTCAATTCTCAATGATTTTTGACCATTCATGAGACAATTTCTCATTCAATTCTCAATGATTTTTTACCATTCTTTTTGTGGGGTAAAGATCTCATTGCAAAGTAGATCCACTTAAACCCAACACAATAGATGGTTGGGACTCATTTTAATATTTAATTAAAGTCACCAAAAATCCATCCAACAATTTCTTAGTACCCAAATGATATGAAATTCCGCTTCCTAGTATTTGGAAGCGCCTAAACACACTCGTTTATTTTCTCCACCATCATGGCATGTATTGTAAAACTTGAATTTTGAAATGAAAGTGGATGGAGAGAAGCCCATCCCGTTGCAAGATTTATGACAATTGCAGATTCTTCATCTCAAAAATTTAAAATGACCATTACCTCTCCTATGTTTATTTATTTATTATTTATTTATTTTTATTTTTTTGAGATTTGTAAGTTATCCTATGTTAAGATGGTGCAAGTTTTTTAGTCGGTTTTCTCTGAAGTTATCCTATGTTAAGATGGTGTTAGTTTTTTAGTTGGTTTTATTATTTTAGCTTTAGTTGATTTGTTAAATGACTGAACTAACATTTTGATGTGCAAATGAGCTAATGAACTCTAAAATAATTATGTTGTGTTTGGTTGGAGAATTTGGAAAGAAATTTGACAAGGAATGGGGAAAAGGTGTGTGAAACTAGATGAAATGTAAATAACATTTCATCTATCTTTTCTTTTTCTCTTTCCAAATTCTTTCCCAAACTGCCCAATCAAACACAGTGTTATAGTATCAATTTTGCAAAGGCTCCCCTTTGTTTACTATGTGATTAAAAAAAAAATTATGAAGAAAAATAAATAAATAGCATTTGGAAAAAATAAGATTATCTTTTGTTGTGTTTATAAAATAAAATTATAATAATAAACAAAGTTTGGTTTGCTTTAAAAACACTAGAATCATTATTAATTTTGGAATGGAGTTGGAAGGCTTATATTTTTTAGTATTATAGAGTTGATATTTATTTGTTAGAATGGATGAAGGGTAAAGTGGGAATTTTGAAAAGAAATCATCAATTTTTTTATCTTTTTTATTGACAAAAAAGTAATAGAGGGGAGGTAACTAATGTTTCATTTGAAAACTTGGTTATTTTAGTTTTTTTTTTTTTGACAGTCCATATATAATGTGTTAATCATATTCGTTTTTTATTATATATATGTATATATATATATATATGTAGTAGTAGTAGTAGTAGTAGTAGTAGTTGGTTTAATGATTGTGTTAACAAAAACCTGATTTGGATTAAATCAACAGACAGCAAACAAATTAATTTTCACAAACAACTGGATCAAGCAATGTGGTTGAGTGTCTTAATGCCTTGACACATTCAAGCATTTCTTTGGATGTTATCATCAGAGAGAAACAAACTAAAAACTAATATTGTATTGTTGAAATTGTTATTTGTTACAAAGATGTGAACAAGAACAAAAACAAAAACACAAAAGAACCAGAAAAAGTTTACTGATTATAAAAACCAAAAAACCATCACAGAAACACTAAATTAAAACCACTCTTAGAGAGCATAAACTACACCTATGATATGTTAAAGTAATCTACTCTTAATTGAACTCATGTTGAGTGTTGATGTTTTGTTGAAGTCCTCTCTGCAAATTCTTGACTTTTATATCCTCTTTCTCTTTCTTTGGCCCATGATCACATAACTCCTTCAAACTTACAACTTCTTAAGTGCTACTGTAACTACCTACTCACTTCCAAGCCTTTAAACCTTACCAAACCTTCAATTCTTTCTGTCGAACCAACTCTCCTCCATGATGTCACGTGTCCCTCATCACTCTGAGCACCGTATCGACAGAGAATAAGCCCCCAGTTGCAAGCATCATCTCCTACAAACTAGCCTACTAAGCCACAAATTGGTTGGTGCTCCAAGGTTATTTCTACCGCTTCATGCACATGATCACCTTCTTCATGCCACCTATCCCTCTGATCAATGGAAGACTTTCACTTTGACTCCATTGCCATGTGTCATCACTTGATTGGCCCACCTATCGATAGGAAATTTACAAAAATGGGTGCAAACAATCCCTACGAAAATTGGTGCAAACAATCCCCCCCCCCTAACTCTTTAAGAATGAGAAGACTAGAATTCTTGAAGAGTTGTATACAAAATTAAATTGGCAGCAACCTGGCCATAATCAATCAAAAAAAATATACTTTTTTTTTTTCTTCTTCTTCTTCTTCTTCTTTCTTTCTTTCTTTCTTTCTTTCTTTCTTCTGTCAATTCATGCAAAGTATAATCAATTGGCCATTGGCCATTAGCCCTTAAACTAGCCTTCTGTCGATGCGTCGACATTAAACAACTGACCATTAAATTAGCCTTCATGCAAATTATAAATAATTGGTCATTGGCTATTATTGGTTGGCTTGGGTTGTTTTATATGGTC